TTTATTTTTAAACAGATGCACTAAAGTTTCGTAAAGTTCTCTGGGAAGTAAGTGAGGAAAAACATTAAATAAATAATGATACAGGTTATTTATTAATTTCTCCACAACTCATTCAAATATATAATGATACGTAGTTAAAGTTGTACTCATTACAAGGGAGAAGAAAAAAAATTTCAGCACTTTGAAAATAATTTTCACACACAATTACCACAAGACTTCTCATTCTGGTTTAGGTACTTAGGTGAGAATTTCAATGCCATTGTATGGGAATGGTTTGAAGAGATTTGAAAGTATTTCAGCAATACCGCTCCATCCCCCACTTCTTATCTCCTTGCTTACCAAAGCTAGTATTTAATAGGTAAGATGATGAACATGATAAATAAATGATATATGATTTTTACATACAGTGATTCAAAAGGGAAATTACTTTTTTTAACCTCTCCTTTATTCAGTAGCCATTTCCTAAGTGCATATGCTGTAGTTGTCACTATGCAGCAAATAAAAAATATTTAAGTTAGTTCTTGCCCAAAAGTAGCTCATCATCTATTTACACTTTTACTTAAACAACCACAAAATGACAATTTCTTTTAAAACATGAGAACTATCCGTTCAACTCTGACTTAAATAATAGAGCTCCAATGGAGACATCATGGAAAGATATTTATAGTCAGCCATTAATTACATCCTTGCTAACCTAGGCCACTCAGTCACATGGCAGGTAAATGTAGCGACCGGACTCATGAGGAGGAACTACTTTTGTAGCTATAGAATTCAAGTAAAATATTTTTATTTTGACCACAGTCTGCTTTATTATTTTGCTTGAAAAGCACAAGATGGTATATATTTTTAGAAATGTAACCTGTAATGGAATGGTTGTCAACCTGGGGTAATTTCTGCTGCTCCCCCCAACCCTTGTCTGCACAGCATTTAGCAATGTGTAAAGAAATGTTGGTTATCACAACTACTGGCATCTACTGGTGCTACTGGTATCTAATGAGTAGAGGCCTGGGATGCTGCTAAACATTTCCCAATGCACAGGGCAGCCTCCACAACAAAGAATTACCTGGCCCCGAATATTAAGTGTCTTGGTTGTAAATATATATACACATACACACACACACACACACATATCTGAATCACTTTGCTGTACACTTGAAACTAACACAATATTGTAAATCAACTACACTTCAAAAATAAAAGTGCCTATGTTGAGAAATCTTTCTATAAAGAAAGATTTTCCCACCCCCAACAAATTTCCTGAGTTTTGTAGTTCTCACACTGACTTGCAAATCACTATAGGTCAGCTTAAGTTGGCAAGGTGCTCCAAGCTTAAACCAGCTTAATTCAAATAGAGACTCAATTATGGCCCAAGTTACAGAGCTATTATTCATATGTCCTGTTTAAAAGGGCTCCCTGACCGACTCTTTCAGGAATTACAAAGTGTTCTCATTAGCTCTGATTAGGTTCTGGGACCTGTCTAGCCTAAAATTTCTCATGCCTAGAAGGTAATAGCATGAAAGGTGTATCTCGGTTTACTCATCAGAAAACCAGTGTGAATTTATATTCTAATTTTTCCATAATAACAATCTTATTTACACGGTCGGTTAAAAATCAAGCTTATTAAACCAAAGAAGTGTAAGAAGATTCCTTATAACATTACCCTTCCAGACACCTGAGGTCAGAGGGCATGAAAAACAGGGATGTAAACCAATCTAGAGAATGCCATAATCAGTTGTCACAGGTTATACATCTCTCCTTCCATACTGCTCGTTACGTTTCTTTGAATTTTAAAAGTTGAGCTTCGAAAACAAAGTAAGGGTACAAAGTACAGGTAGTAACAGTAATGCATTCACAAGTCAATTCCTAAAAACCGAGGAGTATCCTCCCACAGCCACCCCAACCCTCACCAACTGCAAAGTTCAAACAATGCTGTTACCTATTCTTGACATTGAACAACAACAAAGAAGTCTACAGAGGAACTATGAGCTATCTAAGCTGAGAGGTTTTCTTTCTTTCATTTCATTGCTGCTTTTGTTTTCTCTCAGAAGCCAAGATTGTCAGGATTTAAGTCTCTTCATGAAAGACATCTAGGACCTCAAAAGCAGATACTGGAAACCTTGTAAAATCCTCTCAGCTATATGCTCATGGAAAGGTTGAGGCGAAAGGAAAGTAATATAAGCTTTTAAAAACATTTCCTCCCTAGTTAGAAGGACAGAAAAAGTACATGCATTAAGTAAGGCTGCCCCACTCGGCATTCTTGCATTCACTTTAAACAACAGTGATGCACATGTAAATGAATAACCTTTCCAGTAGTCTACATGCATCTATAAACTAGGTTTACTTATTCCTTCCTTTGGATGAATTTTGTGATAGTTAAGGGCTTTGTGATCAGTGAATAGAAGTTGGGATAAAAATTATAAATAAAGAAGATAAACTCTTTGCCTTTAAACAGAAGTGGTTCCAGTTTCCCTTCACAAGCCTGAAGTGTTGTTGTACATATTAAAACTGCTGCATAGCTCCATCTCTGGTCACAGAAACTCCTTCTTTCCCCCTCCTCACTGAAGATGTCAGATCTCAGGGAAACAGCAGTTACAAAAGGATGCTTTTCATAGCCTGTACTAGAAAACGCTGGCACCCCATCCCTGCATAAAATACCACTAAAATGAGTCACAATGCCCGAAGCTGTGCCTTCTGCTTCTCTTCTGCTAAATAATACTGTGAAGTTTTGCCCATGTACAGGACATGTCGACTCGTCTAATACCCCATTTGCCCTAGATAATTTTAAGCTTTATCCATCAGTGTACCACGCGAGAGAGAAAACCGCAGTTAACAAGACGACAGTGTTACCTAGGTATTTGGCATCAATATTAGCAAGAGTCTGTCATTTGACAATTATTTCCCTAGCATACCAGACGGTAAAGAAAACGTTTTCATTCATCCGCAAATGACTAACATTTTATTGATGTTTCAAAATGCGCTTGAATACTATTGCACTCTCGGTTTCCGAGACGGATTTGCGAGTTAAGATTGAATACTAACGACATCAGTAACTCCTGCTGCAAATGTCTCGGTTAATTGTCGGGCCTTGGGGTGCCACTTCAAGGGAGGTGATGCTGGTTAGGGGCTCTTCGATCAGTCAGTCTGGGTGGTCACAGGTGATGGGACCCCTCCCCTCTCCCCATATATCCTCATGCACTGCGATAAAAATCACTCCCAGCACCGCTACCGCCAAGCAAAACGACTCCCTGCCTGCCTCGTAAAGAGCTCAGTCTAGGGAGGCAGCCGGATGCTGACCCCTGCAGAGTTTACTGCTTCTGTGTGCTTTGCCAAAGGACCCTGCTAGTATTATGGAAAACGAGGTGGGGATGTGCGAGGTTTTTGCTTTATATATTTCCTCTAAGGGAAGAAGGACTGGGGTCAGGCGCAGAAAATCTTCAAAGACTGCTTAAGGGGGACAGAGTGGGTGAAGGGGAGGGGTGAGCATGTTTTTCAATCACTTGTTTCTCTCCTTCACTTCCCCGCTTTGCTTCCCAAACTCCTCACTGAACAAGACTGATTGGCGTAACTGCTATTGACTCCCAGCCTCGCTTCTCGCATTGATCTGCAAACGTCCCGGAATAGCTAAATGACTGAATCTGGAAAGGAGTTCCAGAGGAGAAGGGGCAGAGAAGGGTAGGGGGCGGTCCCATGCCCAGCAGTCCTGGGGCAGGACAGCGGCTCGCGGCGGCGGGGCAAGAGGCTCCGGGGCTGCGGCGTAGGAAGAGAGCGTAGCCGCTCGGCGCCGCGGGAAAGGAAGCCTGTCTAACAGGGTTTGGAGGCTGTTAAAAATATGTATATAAACCTGTGACTCGTTAAACACGATAACTTTCCCCTGCCTAGATTCGAACGCACTGATCATTCCACCTGATAGGCTCAAACGGGTTAAACTCCCTCTTACATAACAGGGCTGCCTGGCTGTACACAATTAAAACCCTTGATTGCAGTCTCTTGCCGACTCCATCCCAGCACGACCCGCCCTGTTTCTCCCAGCACGCCTGCGTGCCGCGCGCGCACCACTCCCGCGCATCCCCTGGCGCGCGCTTACTACGCGCTCACACACACGTCCACGCACTCTCCACTTTGACCGTGCCTCACACACACACGCACACGATTTAGTGTCAACTCGCGCCGGGTGGGGGACTGAGGGAGCCCGCCCTCCAGTCCTTAGCGACTGACCCAATAGGCAGGCCAGCTGCTCCACCGCAAGGCCTCGCATGCACCCCCTCAGGTCCCCTCAGAAAGCAGCACCCCCGCCACCGTCCCTACCTATTGCCGAAAGAGGTAGCGAGTGAACTAGTTGGCCGCTTGTTAACTGTAGCGTGGTCGCCCAGGCGAGACTGGAAAGCATTAAAATAAAATAAACAACAAAACCTCGCAGTCCCTGGCGTCATGATGGCGCCGACCACAACTTGGAGGACTTAAAAGTTACGGTGCCTCAAGAGGTAAAGCGAAGCGCCCCTCTGCTCTCTTCACCTCAGTCCCGTCACGGAGACTTTTCTAGCAAAACACCACTCTGGTGCATGACAGCAAGGGAAGCGTTCTGTCTCCGAAGCACCTCTCTTCCCCTCTCAGTTTGCATAACTGTGATATACCTCTTCCTTATATGTGTATATATATATATATATATATATAGACATATATAGACATATATATAGACACATTTTTTTCCCGTTTTCTTTCTTTTCTTTCCACAGCACCCCCTCTTCACGTTCCCCCCTCCCTGCTGCATCCCTAGTCCCCGGGCGGGGTTGCTAAGGAAACGGCCGCTTGGCAACGCGCGTGAGCCCAGGGGCCGCCGACCGCCGCTGCGCCCCGCGCTGCTTCTGCCGCTGCTGCTGCCGCGATTGCAGCCGCCGCCGTCGCCGCTCGCCCTGCCTCCGCCGCCGCCGCGCCTCCTCCCTCACTCGCCGGCGCGCTCGCCTCCTCGTTAGATAGTGTGCGAGCCGCCCGAGAATCAGACACACTCCGGACTCGGCCAAAAGCAACCGAGAGGAGGTGTAGTGTGGTGCCAGGGGGTGGGAGGGGAGGGAGGGAGGGAAAACAAGCAGGAGGAGGAGGGGAGGCAAGAAAAAGAGAAACAACACCGAACAACTAGAAGGGGAAAAAAAAGAAAGAAAAGAAACCCACCCGCCCAACAAAAAAAATTTTGAGAGAAAAAAAAGGAAAAAAATACCTGTGGCGCGCCGCCTGGTTCCCGGGAAGACTCGCCAGCACCAGGGGGTGGGGAGTGCGAGCTGAAAGCTGCTGGAGAGTGAGCAGCCCTAGCAGGGATGGACATGATGCTGTTGGTGCAGGGTGCTTGTTGCTCGAACCAGTGGCTGGCGGCGGTGCTCCTCAGCCTGTGCTGCCTGCTACCCTCCTGCGTCCCGGCTGGACAGAGTGTGGACTTCCCCTGGGCGGCTGTGGACAACATGATGGTCAGAAAAGGGGACACGGCGGTGCTTAGGTAGGGAGAACGGCGTGCTTTTCGTACTTGTCTCAGTCTGTCTTTCTGTCTCTCCACCTTTCTTGTCTTCTTTTAAACCGAGTAATGCTGTTGGTGGTGATCACTGTTGAAAGACCGCGGTCTCGGGATATCCAGGTACTGATTCTGCCCGGAGCCCTGGCCCCTGTACCCTGGGGCAGGTAGCACACCGGACTCAGGGTGCCGAAGCACTTTGCCAGAACGCCAAGTAGCCTGGGATGAGTGAAGTATAAGGTTTAGGAGGGGCAGATGCCCCTTGGAAACTCAATTCACAAGGTCTCTGGTTTACTGTCAGGGGGTACTCTTGGAGAGTCTGACAAGTTTATCAGGTTTGTTTCTATTTACTCCAGGCGGAGTGACTTTTTTCAACGCTGGCTCCCTGCTCCCATTTATTTTCCCTCTCCCTTGGACACTTAGGCTCAATTTCTCCCTTTGCAGTTTTCTCTTCTTTCCTCTCACCGCATTCTCCCTTTTCTTTTTTTCTCCCTTCATTTTTTCCCCCTCCACTTTCCCCCTCCTTCTTACTCTTTTCCTTCCATTGCCTCTTTTCATACCTTTTCTATTTTCTATTTTCCCTCCCTTTTCTATTTTCTCCTCCTGTTCTCTCCTCTTTATCTCCACCACTCTACTTTCTGATCATCTGATTTAACCCACTTTCCTCCATTCTTTACCTTTCTCCATTCCCCATTTTTCCTCTTTATTAATGTCCCTATTCTGTGATTTATCTCTCTCTCTTTAACTCTCATTTCTCATCTCTTTCCCCATATCCCTTCCCATCCATGTCACACACACGTTATGTTCCCTATAACCCCTTCCAGGACTGTTTCCTCACCCTCACAAATCTCTTTTTCTTAAACACACTCCCTCACCTACGCTGTTTCGCATCCTCACACATGCTGGCACTTCCGTGCTCTAACAACCACTCTCACATTCAGATTCTCTTTTACTGTTTAAAAGGCACATACTCCTTCACTGTTCCACATGCGATCACTCACACATGTGTCCACACAGTGTCTCTCCTCTTTTCCTTTCTCTCTTTCTCTATCCCTTCGTCCTTCCCTCTTTCCTCCCTTTTTCCATCTTAAGTTTTGTTTCTTTTTCTCACTCATCCTTCTTCCCTTCTTTTCCCTAAGCTTGAGCATTGAAATGTTTTATCATTAATGAACATCCATAGCTTAATTTTACCTGTAAGCAACACTGCAGGGTGAGCTTCTGGAAACATTTTCTCCTGTGAAGATATAAATTGATGATCAACAGTGCTTAGATCTAAACAAGGCTAAACACCCTTATTCTTTCAGTGCCCATTGCCCTCCCTTCTCCCCGTGACACCCTCACCTGACATACATCTCAAATCTCCCTGAAAGATCTTCTTTCTCTCCACTGGGTGGTAGTTGGCTTATAAGTGTAGATTGCACAAAATCGGTATACCTGGCATGTCTAAGGTGAAAGAGAGTAGGATATGTTTTCATTTGAAACATACAATATATTTCAAGCTGAATGATCTGGAATCTGGGTGTGGTATATGATTTACACCTCCTGAAACATGCTTATAAGTCCAAATTCATGGGGAATACTATTACAGTTTCTAATGTACACTAACAACATGCTTTTATAATATATGCTATCTACTGTAAACACAAAATGCCACTGATGTATACAAAAGTAAATAATTTGTTATAATTTAGTAAAGCACCTTTTCATTGTTGGTAAAAGCAGTGAACTTTTGGTCACACAGAGGATGTAAATTAACCCTTATTCATGTTCTTTGCATTAGTTTGTTTTGGAAGTTTAAACAACAGTGGTGAGGACAAGAAGCAGTATCTTTAGAGGCTGCAAACACGTATCATAGGAGCTGCAATCTATATGTTTGTAGTCGCATATTGCTTCTTTGTAATGAGCAGTAACATTTTCAATATAAAGGACTTGAAAGACTACTTGTCTTTCAATGATATATCTTAGGCATTTTGTTTCTAATGAACAATCTGGTCAACACTATGGCTAATTAAAACAGCTGAACCCACAATCTGCTTCTAGGAGACCTATGTTTTAGTTCACTCGTTGCTTCCAATAGTGAAGCTTCTCTAACTAGTGGCAACACAACCTTTCCAGTGTTTTTGGTTTGGTGCAGTCCTTGTTTACTTGCGTGCACTGTACCTCATCCCTTTATATGCTATATCCTGAGCTTTCTAATATCTTAGTTTAGGGAACTTTTGACTTTTAAACTTTTAAAGAATAGAATCTCTGTCTTTTCTGAATGATGTTTCTAACCAATTAGAGGGTTTTTTTTTTTAAATAAGCAGAATCTTTACTTGCTGTCTGAAACATCTGATCTGCATTACTTTTTACCCAAAGTAATTTGCTTACAGTAATTCTAGAATTCTCTTGGGAGTACCCCAGTTTTGATCTTTTTACGTTGTCCATAGGTTTTAAACACTTTTAACATATATTTTCATGAGAAATCTCTCTGTTTAAAACAATGGTAAATTTTGTCAGTTATTTTTCTTGACTCTTCTGGTACTTGCTCTGTGCATAGACCAGTACAGACAGAGCTTAAAGACTAAGTAAGTGAAAGGTGACAAGTTTTTCATCAGAAGTAATGTCACAGAGTTATATTTTATGTTTTCACTTTGGATACTTGGAATTGTATTTGATGTCATTTTCTAATTCATTAGAAAACAATTGTCCCTCAAACACATACGCCCTCAGACCAAAGTACAGAAACCTAGCACTTGAGAGAACACTTCACTGAATTACATGATACCACTTACTAAGCTTTACACATGATGCTCTATTTTTAATGTAATACACATTTCTCAAAATGTCTGTAATAAAAAGCGAATAATGGCATAACAGTTATCAAGTAACTTTAAGTGCTAAAGGCCTGAAAGTGCAAACATGTCAGTCAGTGACTCTGTTGCTTGTGGTTACATTAATGAAACAGAAGTTTAAAGGTCAAATGATACATTTATATCTCCTAAATGCCAGAATGTCTGATTTAGAGAAAAGAATCAAGAAAAGCAAAACTTTCAGTAAGTGGTGTTATCATGCAGAAGGAAATTCACTCTGCGATCCACTAAGTATAATGTCATTTCGTAAATCAACTTCTCTGTTTAGCTCAAATGGAGGACTTATAATGAAATTCCATTTAATAATTTCAGCATTCTTGTCATTTTAACTTTGCCTTTTAAGGTTAGTGAAGCAATACGTTAAATGTCAAAATGTCCCTTACTTCTAATAATGATATTCACTGATACATCGCTGAAGGGTTCACTTGAGCTATTTGGACATTCTTGATAAAGTCTTTAATGATACATCTATTCAATGTAGTAACATTTGATACTACCCTTTACTTAAACTTTAAATAAATGCACGGATATCTAGAGTACATTGTAATTTGCTACAAATACAAATTAATGTTCTCATTAACTTATTAGATACTAGATTGCTACAACATTTAATACTTACTGGTATTTTATGCTTAACAGAACTTGTTAATCTGTATATGGAGAAATTAACTTTTTCTCTAGTTTTAAAATTCCATTTTGTAATACTTGGAAGATCTGAGTTAATGTTTCATGAGGTTACATAGCAAAGAATAGGAGATGCTGGAACCGTATCAGTCATGCTTCAGGACCTAGTGTTTCTAGACCTGGAAAATCAAAGAGAGCATAACTCTGCTCTGGTTCAATACATAAATTTCAGATGACTTTAAAAAAAATAAATTTTTAGTTACTTTAATGTGAATGAGGTGCTTTATCCTTATCCTATTAACAAATATGTTAACATATACAAAATGTTTAACGTTCTTTGGAAAAAATACACGGAGTATCCTCATTTATATCCTCCCAGTGCCTGAACATTTTTAAAAAGACATGTCATTTTCAAGGTAATTCTTTCAATCTGTTTCTTCTTCAACTCTTCTATGAATTTTGTACATTTTAAGCCGCCTCTTTGATACGAATTCAAAATATCCTATTCTCTGCTTGTCATGCTTTAAT